CACCCCCCCGCAGGAAGAGAGGCAGGGACGAGACACGGGGTGCCAGGACCTTGGCCACATCACTTTAATCACGGCTCTCCTGATAAAAACCCTGACACACACCCACAGCCCGGTCTCCCTCCCTCCCTCCCTCCCCTGGCCTGGCCCTTCAGGTGCTGTTGGCCTGCTCTTGCTCAAAGAGGGCCATGGCCAGGTGGGAGCGGGACGCCAGCCCCTCCAGGTTGCTGAGGACGCAGTGGTGGTAGAGCTCCTCGCTCAGCCGCGGGTCGCAGCTCCGCAGCACGTACTTCTGCACCAGCCCCGGCTCCACGGCCCGGAAGAGGTGGAGCTCGGAGTAGCGGAGGAAGACGTCGAAGACCTCCAGGCCCTCCAGCGCCTCGTCCCGGTCCAGGATGTCGGCGGCCAGCTTGGTGCGGGCCGCCATGTAGTCCGAGTTGTAGAAGCAGGCCTCGGCGAAGACGTGCCGGTCAAAGTGCCCATCCCGCAGGAAGTCCGTGCCGGAGGCGGAGGAGGCGGAGGAGGCGGAGGCGGCCTGCTCGCCGCGGTAGGTCAGCACCGGGTTGAACTCCTGGAAGTGCACTGGGAAGAAGACCTGCCAGTTGCTGATGGCGTTCATGCGGCAGCGGTTGAGGACCTCCCCCGCCACCTCCGTCCAGACGCTGACCAGGAAGAAGAGGGTGTCGACCGGGTGCTTCTTGGAGACCATGTCCATCAGCTTCACCTGGGACGGCACCTCCGTCTTGACGCTGATCCAGGGGATCTTCACGTCGGCGTAGCGCTTCTCCAGCTCAGCCACCATGGCCTTGACCCCCGCAAAGACGTCCACCTGGCCGACCCGCTGGGCGTCGTACGGGTCGTAGATGAGGAGCAGCAGGAGCCAGGCGTTGTCGTGCGTGTCCAGGGTGTTCATGGCAAAGGTGTCCAGGAAACTGCCCGCAAAGTCCCGCTCCTGCACGGTGAGGGGCAGCACCAGCTGCACCCGCGTGGCCTCCGTCACGTGTGGCATGGGGACGAGCTCCACCTGGCTGAGGGGCCTCAGGAGGCTCACCCGCTTGGCCAGCAGGTGCCCGTGGCCCTTCTGGGGGGTGGCCTCCAGCAGCAGGTCCAGCTGGTACTCCATGCCCCGCCTCGGGTCGAAGCGGCGGTACCCGTTCAGCAGCTGCCGCTTGGTGAACCGCAGCTGCGGCTGGTAGCGCCGGTTGAGCTGCTCGAGGGCCGCCTGCAGGATGTCGCCCACGTCCGCCCTGCCGGGCCCCCCCAGTGCGCACTTGGGGGCCCCGCCGGGGCAGGTGAAGGAGTGCTGCTCGGTGAAGTACTCCCAGCCAATCACCTCGAAGCGGGACCTGGGCACGAAGGGGGCGCTGATGCCCACCGGCCACGTCAGGCCCGCCTCACCCGCCGGCAGCAGGGAGCTCAGGTTGCGGATCTGCACCTGCCGGGAAAGAGCGGGTCTGCTCAGCCTAGAGCGGCCGCACCCCGTCATGCCTTGGGTGGCGGCTGCGGCTGCCCCCCTCCCCCCGGCCACGCCCCTCTAGAGCCGCCTTCCGCAAAGCCAAAGGGCCGCAGTGGGAGCCCCTCGCAGGGGGCGGGAGCAAGCAGGGGCCCCCCGGCACCTGAGGGGGGAACACGTCTGCCGGGGGGGGAGGAGACCCCGGTGTGCTGGCGAGAGGAGGCCACGCCGTCACCACCACCCTCAGAGCGGGGCGGGGGAGCCGAGTAAAGAGGGTCTTAAAAGGCCACCAGCAGGGTTCCCTCTCGGCTGAGGGAGTGTGAGCCGGCTCACAGTGTTTTAGCCTCTAGCCCACACATTTTTTGCCTTGGCTCAGGAAGGATGTGGCTCCAGAGCAGACTAATTTATGCAGGAGCCAAATCGCTCGCTCGCAACTGTAATGCCAGGGGCTCACAAAGTAGTAATTTCTGCTCACGGGACTCCACGGCTTAGAGGGAGGCATTGGACCAGGGCCAGCCACCTCTGCTCATCTCTGGCCGTGACAGCCCCACGTAACGAACTGGGATCCCAGCCAGGGTTCCCTCTCAGCTGAGTCGGTGTGAGCCGGCTCACAGTTCTTTAGCCTTTGGATCACACACTTTTTGTCTCGGCTCAGGAAGGATGGGGCTCCTGAGCAAACTGATTGATGCAGCAGCCAAATCGCTGGCTCACAACTTTAATGCCAGGAGCTCCCAAAGTGGGATTTCTGCTCACAAGACTCCACAGCTTAGAGGGACACGGCAGATGACCATGGCACATCCCCGCCCCCTGGGAAATCCTGGTGGAGGAGATGCAAACTGGGCCAGGCAAGCCGTCTTGGGGGGAAGGCCCCCTTCTGGGCAGGCACCTGGGCGGTCACAGCAGGAGGCCTCGGATTCTTTCCGGGGACAGCCATGCCGGTCTGCGGCAAGAGAAGCAAGAGGACCACATGACCACACCCGGGAGGGCAACGCTGCCGTGGCCTCCACAGCCCCTCCACGCAAACCCCTGAAGAAGTGGGCGGAACCTACAAGAGGTACCGTCTGCATCTATCTGCCAGCCTTGGAGATGCCAAATCACTCCGTTTTGTCAGGGCCAGGCAAGACAACTCCAACTTCCGCCTGTCCGGTCTCTGCCGCCCTCTTCTAAGCATCATCTGTACCGATGGGGTGGGACACGGCCAGGGGGACGGAGGCCTTTTCCCGCCCTGCCTTCCCCGAAGCTAGCGCCTGCAAGCCTCAGACCAGGGCACGCGCTCTCTCTCCCTCTCTCTCTCCCTCTCTCATATATATATGTGGGAAAGAGAAGCGGCACCAGGCCGCTGAGATCAGAACCCCAAACCCAAGCACTGGATTCACTTCCCCCCGCCCCACCCTCTACCTGCAGCTGTTCAATCTCTTGGTCAGTCTTCTCCAGCTGGATCCTGCTGAACCTCTTGTGCAGGCGATACATGAGGGAGGCCTCCGTGACGGGGTGCACAGCAACCGCCCCCCAAAAGCCCTGCCCCTCCTCCTTCTCCGGGTCTGCATTCTTGGCTAGCTCGTAAGTCAGGTACAGCTGGCCCTGGGCAGGGGGAGAAGAGAGACAGGCTTGCGGGACGGGTCGCCTCACCCACCACACGCGATCAAGGCAACGCACCCAAGTCCTTTCACGCTCATGCCTTAGGCAAAGACTGAACAAGAACCTTCAAGCCAGCTAGCAAGTTCCACCGCCGAGTGGGGATTCGAACCCCCCCTCTCCGTACTCCGCCCACCACACAGCTCTCGGTCCCACACGTGGCAATTTGGGGAGGTGGGAGACCCCAACCCAGTGCGGGCTGCTGCGTGACTCCCCGCACGGGCCTTCGTGGCAAGTTGTGTGACTTCTCACCCTTGCGGCCACGCCGTCCTGCTTGTGGCCAGGGTGGAGGAGTCCCACCAACTTCTCAAAACATGCTTTGGAAAGATGGATTCGCATCTGTACTGGTGACGCAAAGGATCGAGCTCCAAATCTCCTGCCTCAAGAAAAAGGATCACCGGAGGCAACGCCTTCCTTCCCGTACCCGACAGAGCAGCCCGGAGGAGAAAGAAGACCTCACTGCTGCGGGGGGGGGGGGGGGGGGGGAGATGGGACAAGGTCCTCCCCCCCCTCCCCCGGCCTCTTCTCAGCGGTCATGATCACACAAGCACAGCGGCACCAGGGTTCCCTTTCAGCAGCAAGTGTTTCAGATGTGGAATTCCTGCCAAAGGACGGAGTGATGGCCGCAGGTATAGGCAGCTCCTGGGGTGGTTCCTCTCCCGTTCTCCCACAGGAGCCGCCCCGGGGAAACACCTTCCAGGTCTGGCCTCTGCAGCGCGCCCCGCTGGGGCCAGAGGATTCACGGTCCCAGATTCCACCACCCCCTGCCTGCCTGCCTGCCTGCCTGCCTGCCTGCCTGCCTCCCATGGGCCCTGGCCCTCTCCCAAGGCACAGAGACAGATGGCCGTCTTCCAGGAATGCAGGCGTGCGCGAGTGGCGTCAGCTAGTAGCCCTTTCGCCACCTGTGCGCCAGTTCGTGCCCTTCAAGGTTCCTGGCACTCTGGGGCTGGACCACGTGGGGCGGAACGGCCCCAGGCCCCGATTCCCACAGACCACACTGGCCACGGGGGACCCGGGCCTTCCACTCGTGTCGTCTCCCAGCGCCGGTATTATTCCCCTTTCTTCACTGTGGGGCTAAGAGCCACTGATGGAGTCTCCCCTCTACGAATTTCCATTAACCCTGTTGTGAAACAGACCATGCGTGCGTACATCACTACCCTCCTTGGGCAGCAAATTCCACAGTTCAGTTACCACTGAGTAACGAACGTAAGAGAAGCCATGCTGGATCAGGGCAGAGGCCCATCCAGTCCAACACTCTGTTGTCACACAGTGGCCAACAATACCAGGGGCCCTCAGGAGGTCCAGCAGTGGGGCCAGGACTCTAGAAGCCCCTCCCACTCTTGCCCCCCCCCCAAAGCATCGAGAATACAGAGCATCCCTTGCCCCAGACCAAGAGCTCCTATCTGTACCTTCTGGCTAATAGCCACTGATGGATGCTCCGTGTGTTCATCCAATCCCCTCTTGAAAGTGTCTCTGCCTGTAGCCGCCACCACTGAATTCCACGTGTTAATTACCCTTTGGGTGAAGAGGGACTTCCTTTGATCTGTTCTAAGTATACTGCTCACTAATTTCATTGAGTGGCCACAAGTTCTTATGTTGTCAGAAAGGGAGAAAAAGTACTCCTATCTCTACCTTCTCTGTCCAATTCATAATTTTTCAAACCTTTATTATCAGAAATGTATCTCCATCAGAAATGCTTCCTTTTGCTGTCCTGTACCTATTTCCCAACCATTATCTTGGGTGCCCCAAGTTATGTATTATGGCAGAGGGACAAAAAGCTCTCTCTCCACCCAAGGCATAATTTCATTTTTTGCTGCTGCTATGGCACACTGAGTTAACATTTTCATCAAGCTTCCCTCTACAGCCTCAAGAACTTTCAGTCTCAGCCAGTTCAGACCTCATCACTTGGGATGCTCACCTACACTGAACTGCATTGGCCACATGGCTGCCTTGGAGCGCTTCGCCATTGGCTTGTGTTTTCCCCATCCCAAGTAATTTCTTATATTTTGCATGCTTGGTTACTGCACTGCATACCACGGATTCCAAATCACTTATGAATTCCCAACTCATTCTCCTCCAATGAAAGAACTGTTCATTTATTGCTATTTTCTGCTTCCTGCTGTGTAACTAACTTTTAACCCATAAAAAGACCCACCCACTTATCCCATGATTGATAAGCTTACTCAGAGGTATTTAGTGAAGTAACCCGTGAAAGGCCTTTTGGAACTCCAAGTATATATAACTAATGTCTATAGAATCTACGTGCTTGTTCACTTTCTCAAAGAAACCCCAAGGACTGGTGAAGCAGGACTTCCCTTCACAGAAGCCATGCTGATTCTCTCTCAGCAGGCTTTGTTCCTCTATGTGCTTAATAATTGTACTTTAATAACCATTTCTGCTAATTTACCTGGAACAGATTAGGCTAACTGGCCTGTAATTTCATAGATTCGCTCTGGATCCCTTTATAAAAACTGTTGTGACGTTTGTTACTTTCCAGTCCTCCAAGTATGGATTCCAGTGCAAGTGGCAAGGTACACATACCTGTTAGTATCAGGTGGGTACCTGTGTTGGTCTGAAGCAGCAGAACAAAGTTTGAGTCCGGTGGTGCCTTTAAGACCAACAAAGTGGCCCATGGTATTTTTGGCCACTGTGTGACAGACAGAGTGTTGGACTAGATGGGCCATTGGCCTGATCCAACACTGGCTTCTCTTGTGTTCTCTTATGCCCCTCAATTTGACTCAGTTCTTCAGATGCCCTTCCCGAAAACATCAGCTCAAGTGTGTGTATGGGCCCCACATTTTACACAGTGAAAATAGAAGTTTCTCTGCCCTATTTATCATAAATAATCCTTTTATTTGTCTGTCATCTAAGGGCCCAACAATCTCCCTAGCTAGTTTTTCTACTCCCGATACATTTGAAGGAACACTTAAAGTTTTTCTTAATGTTTTTGGCCATCAACTCCTCAAAATCTTTCTGCTCACCTTATTGTCAGCTTACTGTTTTTTTTCCCAAAGCCAGTGCTCTTTTCTGTTTTCCTCGATCAAGAACACCTTCCACTTTTTAAAAGCAGGTTCTTTTGCCTTTTATGGCTTTCTCGAATCATTAACCACACAGGCATCTTTTTTAGTCTTGGTGGTACCTTTCCTGATTAGAACGATGCATTCTACCTGGGCCTCCATCCAGTGGAGGGATTTGACTCTTTTAATCCTCCCCTTTTTAACTTTCTTCTGAATGGTCCTCTCATTTTCACAAAGTTCTCTCTTTGGAAATCCCATGCTACTGTTTTGAACTTTAGGGGTAACTTTCCGCTGACATGAATGCTGAACTGAACTGCACAGTCGCCACTGTTCCCCATCGGCGCAACGTTTACAGTCTTGCACCAGGTCCAGAGCCCCTCCCAGAACCAAGCTCAGGGGTCACTGCCCCTCCGTTTGTCACGTACGGGATTTCGCAACCTCATTTCTGTGGGATGACTCGAGCACACATTTATCCAGTCAACGTGAGGGTAGTTGGAGACATCCAGTATTATTGCTTTTTTGATATGGCTACTCTGATCTGACAAGGACAAATGCCTCATTCCCTGTAGCTTTTCTCTACCCTTAGCTGGGGCTGGTGATTAACTAGAAGGTGATGAAGTCAGCTCTCATCTGCAACAGCTGCTGCCACAAGCCACCTGTGAGTCTTGAAGGAGCCGTGAGATGCTTGGGGTTACTCTGGTAAACCCATCAGTAGCTCTTAGCCACAAGATATAGATAGGAACTCTGGGGCAAGGGATGCTCTGTATTCTTGGTGCTGGGGGGGGGGCAACAGTGGGAGGACGGCTGGTGTCCTGGCCCCACTGCTGGACCTCCTGATGGCACCTGGTGTTTTTGGCCACTGGGTGACACAGAGTGTTGGACTGGATGGGCCATTGGCCTGATCCAATATTTGGCTTCTCTTGTGTTCTTATAAGAGGGAACTGTATAAACCTATGGAGCAGAGGTCCATCAGTGGCTCTTAGCCACAAGGTCTAGATAGGAACTCTCAGTCTGGGGCAAGGGATGCTCTGTACTCTTGGTGCTTGGGGGGGGGGGCAACAGTGGGAGGGCTTCTAGTGTCCCGGCCCCACTGCTGGACCTCCTGAGGGCTCCTGGTATTTCTGGCCACTGTGTGACACAGAGTGGTGGACTGGATGGGCCGCTGGCCTGATCCAACATTTGGCTTCTCTTGTGTTCTTATGTTCTCTTACTGCAGCAGACGGCAGCCCTGGCCAGATGTCCCCCCTGTGTAGAGTCCTGTTTGCTTTTCTGTTCTCCCTAAATAAAACTCTCCATGCTTCGTAGCAAGGAGCCTTACCCTGACCCTGCTCTCTATGCCCAAACAACCTTCCGTCACTTAGCTGTTGTGACAACCGTCCTCAGTAATGGACCAGGAGGGGGCTGAAAAGACCTTCAGGCAGAAGCAGAGGGGCTTCACCACTGCCACTAGCACACAGTTGGCAGGTGCCTGCTGCCGGGAGGGGTGGGGTGGGGGGGTACCAAGTCAGCCTCCCACTACAAGGACCGAGTCACCCCAGGACCGGCTCCTGCCACAGACCTGCCAGCCAGCCAGCCCTCTCTCCGGCGGAAGTACCTGATGCTGTGAGACACAGCTGACGCCCAGGAAGTCCACGATGCACCGCCCCAGCCACTCATCTGGACGCACACTGAGGATTTCGTTGCGACAGCTGTCCAGGTAGGGGTGCAGCTTCAGCAGCAGACTGCGGGAGAGCAGGTAGCCAAAGCCCCCGTGGCAATACCGGGCGCGTTCCTCCCCACCAATGAACTCCTCCGCCCGCCCCAGGTAGACGTCCTGGTTGATGCTGAGGTGGCTCACGAGCGCCTTGACCTGCTCGGCGTGGGCATACGTGTCGTCCTGCATGACGAAGAACCAGTCGTAGTCGCCCCCCATGTGCTGGTGGATGTAGCGCACTGTCTCGTACATCAGCCAGACGGGGCGCTCGTCGCCATGGGACACCAGCGTCATGCCGTGGGGTGCCTTGGCGCTGCGCAGACCCGTGAAGTACAGCAGGTGAGGGAAGTGGTGGGCCACCGTCTTGTTGACGGCCACGGCCAAGGTATTCAGGGTAGCCTTAGAACTCAGCACGGCCACAAAGAGGCGCTCCCGGAAACCCAGCTCCGTCTGGACGTACCGTGTCCTGCAGGGAAAAAGAGAGAACTGTGCTCAATCCAGCCCCCGTGGGCCTGTGGGGCGCCTGACCTTTGGTGCCGGAATCCAACCCAAATACCTTTACTGGCATAAAAAGGGGAAAGTTACAAGACGGCCAATTTACAGAAAATGTCGATTATAAAAACCATCAAGTATCACGTAGAAGAGCTGGACTTTTGCTCCCTGATTGTTACGGCAGCCAGAAGGTACCTTGCAACTGAACTTGTCATGTGGGAACATCAGTCAGATAGTAAAAGAGATGCTAACTTTGCCTCAGATGGACCGTGAACGTTTGACACAATACGTTTAATTAGACAGTCCCGCACTTCCCCAGAAAAACCACAACGTTGGCACGTTTCCTGTCCCAAGAAGACTGTGCCTTCTGCACCAAGGACGGGAATCGATCAGGCTACTGGTAGCCGTGGTGGCAGCTCACACAGATGTGATGGTGAGGGGCTCTCAAAGATCTCCCTGTGCCACCCGGACACTAAGGATCCATCTGTCTCTGAAAGCAGGACGCAGACAGCCCACTTAGTCACGCTCTTAGGGGACGGCAATTGGACCCTCACGCGACCCGGGGCGCAACAGCCATGCCTGCTTCAACCCAGACCTGCTCGAGTCATGCAGCAAGGGCATGGGGAATCCTGCGCGTGTCTTGCTTTGACAGCAAAGAGGCCAACAAGACCTTGTTGCAGCTAACCGAGACCCTTCCCTCCCTTCACGCCAAGCTCACCACTGGTACCAAAGCCCTGCTTCAGGGGGAACACCTGAGGAAGGGGAGGAACCTGCACCCCCCCCCCCCCCCGGCCGCCTGCAACCTCCTGGGCATCTGTGCTGTGAGAGCTTCTTGGCCCCCACTTTCAGAAGGGGCTGCTGTGAAGGGCCCAGGGGGCGTCACCAGGGGCCACACACAACCCAGAGGAGACGGCCAAAGCTGCTGGGCAGCGCCAGGGCCACGGGGCCTGATGGGCTCTGTGCTGGTCAGAGGCGCTGGGAGCGGGGGACTCCCCTGCTTAAGAACGGACCCTTCTGCCTCCTACGACCTTCCCTGGGAAATTCACAGAAGCAGCAAAGCGGAGGAGGAAAGAGAAGCACAAACTCCCCCCACCCACCCCCTGCCATGAGTGTGCCCCCTTTGGCGGCTCTCCTCCTTCCGCCCTCAACACGGGGGGTGGGGGGAGGCAATGTCCCCCACCTGACTGTGCTCCGGCCAGGGCGCACGATGCCTGGGAAGGGCCCGGGACACTCAAGACACGCGGGCCCTGGCCGGGAGAGGCCAGCCCGGCCCAGCCAGGCCTCCGCAGCTCTGGGAAGTCAAGGCAGGGTGGGCTCAGGCCGAGCCCCTGGATGGGAGACCCCCTTGGGAGGCGGGCTTGACCCAGGCACCGCTCCGAGGATCCTGGGGGGGGGGGG